ACCCCCGAGAAAAAGTCATCCAAGTGAAATCTCTGGAATGTGTAAAGGTTAGCTGACTGGGAAAAGGGGTCTTTGCAAATGTATTACCTACTCTGAGAGGAGATGCTGCTGGTTCTGCAAGTGGGCCCGACTGCCATCACACGTGTCTTTAGCAGGGAAAGGCAGGGGGAGGTGTGACAGGAAGAGGCAAGGTGGTCATGGAGGCAGAGGCTGGAGTGCTGGCAGCCACCAGAAACTGGACGAATGAGGGCTGGGTTCTTCCCTAGAGGCTCTGGTGGAAGGCTGGCTCTGCTGAATCCTTGACCGAGGGATTCTGGACTCCCAACGGCGAGAGAGCATTGTCCTGTTGCTTTCAGCGACCACGTTTGCTGGACTTTGCTACGGCAGTCTCAGCTAACCAGTGCGCTTGGGAAAGTGGCCCCTTGAAAGCAGCGTATTCTCTCAGGGTCTGTGTTTCGGCTGCAGGACCGTGAGGCTGCAGACAAACACTCCAACCAGAGAGAGGCTTTTGCGAGTTACCTAGTACTCCAGTTTGGTAGTGAAGGCAGGCCCCAACTTGTGTGGCCTTGTGCTGTAAGCAGGGCACAATGCAGGTTTCCCTGGGGGCACTCGCCGGACCTTTTTACCTCACTTTACCCTCCATCTCATTGGACACTCTTTAGTCCCCCGGACACGTGCCAAGTTCTTTCTAGCTCTCTGGAGACATTGCCCACCTCCCCGGGTCACAGTTCTGAAAGTTTTAGACCTTGCAGAGGGTACAAACACGGTGGACGCACTTCTCGGAATGTGTGCTTCCGATCACTATTGTTGTGTGCAGAGCCGAGGCTGACCGACAGTGGTGAGTGTGCTCTTTGTGTAAAGCCAAGCTCTGGGCTGGGGAGCGCTCACTCCAAGCAGCCCAGCGTCTCGTCTCTTCGCAGGTGCGGCTCCTGGGATACTTCTCAAAGGGGGAGCAGCAGTGAGAAGAGACTTTACAATAATCTCGTTTGATGGCCCGAGAACTAGCTTCCTGGAGTCAAAGCGGGGCTTTCCAGTACTAGGACAGACAGGCTGGCTGTGGCAACACTGTTGTGAGGGAGCTCACGTGCCCCCAACACCTGGTGGGAAACCCAGTTAAAGGTGAGCCTGTGGGCACTTTCCAGTGGCTCATGGGACAGGCATGCAGCGAGGAGGGGGAGCCAATTCCTCCTGCATCTGGACCTGCGGCTTGTTTAGGGTTGTGGCAGCCACCCCACTCCACTAGCCGGGCCCAGAAAGGGCTGCTCAGAGTTCCCAGCCCAGGAGCAGAGCCACTTAGGAAGCAGGCGTGAGGGGTGTGAGAACTCCCTGGAGCACGAGACCCAGGCAGAGGGGTCCATGCCGACTGCGTTTACAGAAGTGAATTAAGCTGATTGACTCCGACCAGCCCCCAATCAAATCACAGCGCTCCTGGCACCCTGGGGACCGCGTCTTCATTTCACAGAGCTGGGCAAGGGCAGGCTTCCCAGCCGTGCAGATCCCTGGTGAATGTCAGGCCTGCATTTCAATCAACTTTTATTTCCAAGTATACAGTTCAGCCACTTTTCTAGGAGCTGGGCGGGGCCTTGGGAGAGGAGAGGCAGGGGCCATGTTGTTACAGTTCAGAAAGGGTATAAAAGGACATTAATCACGCCCGTGGAAACCTTCCCGTCAGCAAGTCAAAGCTGTCGATAGTAATGAGTGTGTTTCATGTTTCAGTGAGTCTCTCCTGGGTTCCGCTGCATCTTACGACTCAGCTTGGCAACGCACAGTGGCCGCTTACAGAGCGTGTGAAAGGCCTGTGGGCAGGTAACTCAGCATTCCAGGCTGTGCCAAGGCCCAGGGCACCCTGCTAGTGCCTCCCACCCCTTATCCCTTTAGCTCCTTCAGCTCCTTCAGAAACAGGGCCATCAGCCCAGGCTATACAAGGGGCTCCACTGCAGACAAGGAGGAAATTAGGGGTCATGGATGCAGTCTGGAGAACCAGATGCAATGCCTGTAAGCCAGCCTCACTCAGCTTGGAAGAATGTAGAGAAATTGGGGTGCGCCTCCAGGCAGTCTTACCCCCTCAACATTTCAACCAGCTCGACTAAGGGGTGGGAGCCATCCCCATGCTACGGGATGTTCTGGGGGACACACCTGCGCCCACCCCCGCCGGGGATGCTCACCGAGAAGGGCAGTCTCTCCGGTTGCAGGCGACGGGCTGCACCGCGGGACGCACCTTCCCTTCACAGTGCTCGGGGCTGACCTCGGTGCTGTTCCGGAGGCACCTCAGACGGGGCTGCTGGACACCTCGGTGCCCACAGGAGGCTGAGCAGGTTGCCAGTCTGTCCAGAGACCACCAGTAGTCTGTGGGGGGGGGGGGGGGGGGGGGGAGGCAGCATTAGTGCTCGTACTCGGGGCCTCTTCCGAGGGAGGAGCAGGGCTCCGTCCCTAACCTATCTGTGCCAAGCTCCACAGTCCCTGGTAGCTCGAGTTGTCTATAAATAGAGTTCGCTCTTACTGCTGGTAAACACACTTCCCCAAAGCTTTTTCTTTTGGCTCTCCAGAAAGTGGCTATATTATTTCTACAAAGAAATAGATGCTAACCCTCCTACCTGAAAGTGCAGATTTTACCTGGTTCTGGAGCTTCTAGAAAAGAGCTGCCCTTTTGAGTGCTTACGTAGGAGTGTGTATATCACACACCTCACAGATAGTCACTGGTCAGAAAATGGAACTTTTATTTTTCCTCTCTGCAAAGCTAAATGGCTGGAAGATGCTTAAAAGTAAAAACCTAAATTGCTCAGAAAAATCTCCCACCCGTTCAAAGCAGGATTTCCAGATTGGCACAAACTCTCCCTTCCACAGAGTCCTTCACTGTGGAATGTAGGTGGTAGAAGTTTGCTTTTCTTAGAAATAATCAGTGAAAGGTATCAGGCTACACAGTTTCCACAAAAAGGTGATTGGTTCTTTTCCACACTATTTGGTTTTCTGTCCAACTCTCTTAGCACAACCAATGCTAGACCCCACAAAGAAGGGGGCATATGACCATCGACCCCTTTCCTCAGTGCCCCCTCTCTAGAGGAGGCAGATTCCTAGCAAGAGTATTTTTCAGCCAAACCAATGGAGAAGTCTTCCGTTCTCTTAACAAGCTGCCTGTAAGTGATCTTTCCTACTTACAGCAGCTCACTAAGAGCTCATTGTGTGAAAACATTGTTTAGCGTCAACGGTTATGCTTGTGAGCCCCACTGGCAATAAAACAATCCTGTTCTAGGGATGGGGGGGAACATTTTCTGCCATTTTGGGTAGTTATTTTAGGGCTTGAAGACCATAGAAAAATACCAATTTTTTAAAGAACCCGGTACATTTGGCCAGACTTTTAATTAAGTCACCCCGAATGTAATGGCTATTACTCCTTGTCTTTGGTGATTTCCAGGTACGTGCTGTTGTTCATCAGCCCAAAGTTGAAAGGAACATGGTTGCTTACCTTGGATCACCAGAGAAGCCTTCTGCACCAGCACCCCAGCCTCATTCTGAGCCAGGCAGCGGAATTCCCCTTGAGACCCGCCACTGAGATTTGCAACCTGAAGAATCTGTCCTGCTGCCAAGATACTATAGGTCAGCCCGAGGGTGGCAATTGGTTGGCCCTCGTGGAACCAGGTGATGTTGGGGGTGGGGTGACCTTGGATGGGGCAGCCTAGAAAGAAGGAACAGGAGAAGTGAGCCATTGGCAAAGTCAAAAGCACACCTGCCTGATGCTCTAGAAGCAAGCATCTGACGTGACTGCCAGTGAAACGCATCTCTCCTGAGCAAACGGGAGGTACTTTTATCCTCTGCGTGGTTGACGATCAATTACAATGAAATAATGCAAAGAAAACCCATATTAGTAAAATCACTCGTCTGATGACTCTTACCTTGCCAGGTACATGACGCTGTCTACTCTCATTTCTAGGACCAGAAATTCTAAGTAACTAAGCGATGATACCTGCTACCCAAACCTTCCCAGTGCAAGATAAATGCACACACGCAAGCGAGAGAAATGAGGCATCTGCTGTCGGGCTCCCAGCAACTTAAGCCGTGAGGTCCAAGGTTGGTGTCATTATATTATGAAATGGGGGTGGGAATAGGCCTGGGATCAGATAGGTCAGTAACTAACTCCAAATGTGGTTTTATTTGCCAGCACCCCCCCACACACACTCCCTCCCACCAAGTTCATGTCTACAAACAGCAGAATTAAAGAAAATGTAGCATATTTCTTAGAATGAAAATAGATGCCTCCATGACATCTGCTTCAAAGGAGCAAAAGTACCTTGGTGATGGAGATGTCCTTCCCATGAGTCATCCTGTTTGGTCAGTGCAGATAGAGGCTGGCTATTCACAAGCTAACAGGAATGTTTACCCCTAGTCCTCATTTCCCCAACTCCTTTAGGAGTGATTTTCTGACTATCCAGAAGAAAGAGTACAGGTAGCAGCCTCAGGCTGTGCTCTACAGCTGATAAAGCTACCTGTCTTAGAGCCAGAAACCTCAGCTAAAAAAGATACATTTGTGTAACACATTCAGAATTCTCCACCACCCCCTCTGTCTTGGGCCATCCCTCCCAGCCTGGTGCTTCTGGGAGGGGTGGAGTTGGAATTCAACTTGAGAGAGAATGACAAAGGCAGAGAGACCTCTGGGAAGCTGCTTGTGTTCTGATCTTGGATCAGGAAGGTAGCATCCAAGGAGGGAGTTTAAGCACTCCTCCAGGCCAGCTCAATCAGCCAGGGTCAAGCTTAAGATAGATGTTCTATTTGCCACAGTTTTTTCATAGTAAGTTATCTCACTCTGAAACATATCAAGGTAAAGGTCAAGTTTGTAGAACATTTTAAAGATAGAAAACCAACTTCTTTGTTACTTTCAATTCAAATGGTTACATAGATTCATGATTCCCAAAGAAAGTGCTATTTTAATAGTATTCTCAGGACTCAGGTTTCTCATTTGTAAATGAAAGTATTTGACTCGGTCAATTATTTTCATACCGATGTTGCCTTTGGGGAGGGTGTCTAAAGGGGAAAATCTCAATAGGTAGGGTTTGGGGGGCTCTGATCCCCCTGCATTTCAATCAAAGCTGAATTATAAATTGAGTTTTAACCCAAGAAGACTGCACCATTGGGCAAGCGCTGAGTTATACATCGATATGTTCTGATGTTTCAATACCTCAAACTCATCCTCTAACTCTTCTTCCACCCACCTAGATGAATGAAACACTTAATCAAGGGTAAGGGCAAAGACTGGCCTAGGAAATCCATACTCCTTGGGTCACTGTGGCATGACATCTGATGCCAATGAAGGTTCTTAGAGGAGATGCTCTATGTGGGAGGTGTTTACGATAGGCAGAGGCCAGGAGTAGATGTCTAGAAACATAAGTGCTAATAAAGCTGGCAGTGGCCAGGAAAAACCAAACCTAGTTGGCTGGAACCTGGGGGTCATAGCAGAGATGAAATGGGGGTTGTCTTGAAGGTTAGAATCTGATGTTTTCTGAAGAGGAGAAGTGACCTCAGTGTGTCACATTGTTTATAACTATGATTAAGTTGGTTCTTTGGGACACAGTTCGAGTATGGCATTAACGAGACATTTGTACAGATAGCGTGAGAGAAGGGGCGGCTTAAAGCCAATAGATGCCTAAGTTTATGTTTTGAACATACTGACTATAAAGGCTGTGATAGAACCCTGTTCTAAAACAATAAAACCTAAACCCATTACTGAACAGCTGATTCTGACTCATAGTGATCCTCCTGGACAGAATGGAACTACCCCGGGGGGTGTCTAAGGCTGTAAAGCTTTACATACCTAAGTAGATTGCCACTTCTTTCTCCCAAAGAGTGGCTGGTAGGTTTGAATGGCCAACCTTTCTATTAGCAGCTAAGCGCTTATCTCTGCGCCACCAGGGCTTTTTAATAGAATGCCAAGATGGAAACAGATTTGGAGCTAAAGAGTTATCACCTCAGGATAAAACTTGAGAGAACTCTTCTTTCTATGAGTGATTGAGGAAAATGGAAAGTATTAAAGGAGTCTAAAATATCACAGAAGAAACATCTGCGTTATGAAAATAGTGACTGGACATGTCCCTTCACGCACCTCCACTCTCAGACATAACATGATGGTTAAAGTCATTCTAACTAGTTTTTGAATCTCTGAAAATTCCAAGTTAGTTGCATCTGAAAAAAGAAAAAGCATCCCACTCAATGCAATTTATATAATTTAGGGAAGACTCTGCCCCTGGTCTTCAATCCTTAGAAGTGGACACGAACTGGGTGACTTTAAAGGTTTGACAAGAACCACGTCATGTTAAAGAAGAGAGTAAATGAGAATGCTGTAAAACATAAAACTCACTACCCTGTTTCCCCGAAAGTAAGGGTATATATAGATTGTTGTACATGGAAATAATGGTAGTAACAAGAAATTCTTGATACTGTAGGATTCAGTTTGTCTGGTTATGCTGGTTTGTGATGACAACTACTACTGTACCGTATACAGGTAGTAAATTTCCTTTTTTTTGTTCAACAATAAATGTGTACTGTATTCTTCTTCATGGAAAAATAAGACATCTCCTGAAAGTAAGACCTAGCGCATCTTTGGGAGCAAAAATTAATATAAGACACTCTCTTATTTTCGGGGAAACAGGGTATATATGCTGGTTAGAAAAATTTTAAAGCAACTTGACTGGGGATTCTAGCTTCCAAAGTACCTTAGGTGGAATAATGATCAATCATAAAATCTAAACAACATAAGAATGACGAAACACTGAGGAATGCTCAGCGGCAGAAGCAGAAAGGGAGTCTAGCCTGGGCCCTAAGCACTACGGTACATATGATCTGTCAGCTTACGGAGTTCTGATATTCCTCAACTCTTCATGTGGATCAGGGACCTGGAAAAATTATAGCTCTACTGGCTTGAGATCTCAGAGGACAGAGTTTAGGAATAGTTAAGGGGGAAATCTAAGAGGCTGAACCTCAGACTCTCCATTAATAATACCACCCCTAACCCAACGCTCAAGAAAAGTGCAGTAACTAGAAGTTGACAAGAATGCTTAGAAAGATACATGTTGACATTTCAGTCCAGGCACCTTACCTTCCTGCTAGAACAAAATCAATACTTTTCAGAGGAATGGCATAACAGAAGCCAGAACCTCTTAGAACGCCCACTATATAATCAACTGTGACCCATATGCATGAGAAATAGTACACAACCGGTCCTGACCTGACTCCAGTGCTGCTGTGAGCAGATGTACCTTTAAGGAAGCCATTAGAAATGGCTGAAGACTTTAAGGAAAGCATGCTCACAATGAGTACACGATGGTAGCATTTCCAGAGAGAGGTAGAAACTATTGGGCCTTATTGCTTTCCACATAAAGCTGATGGTTATTTTCCCCATCTCTTTATGGAACGATGATGACATCGGAGTTGTAGCCCACCTGAAGTTAGAGACCATCACAAGAATAGATGTGATGCATTGAAGAACAGGAATAAAATGTCATTAAATGGGGTTAATAAAAGACTGCAAATGGCAGAAGAATCAGTAAACTTAGAGATTCCAGGAAAAATGATGAAAAATCACAGCTCCACCCCCTTCCCCATTAGAAAACAACCGTGTATTTTACAAGTAACTGAGAGTTTGTATTACATGGGAGGGTACACAGGAGACAGATGTCAAGAAAGGTGTTAAAGTGGTAGGGGCCTCTTAGCTTACATAAGCTTGCACACAGGTGCCCCAGTCACCCTGTGTGACTGTCTTTCCAGCTGGCACATCCTCAGTCCTCCCGTTCACGGTGGCACTTGCTTTTCCTTGCGTCCTGCATCAGCTTTTGCTTTGGCCAACTAACTGGTGTCCTTGTTTGTTGATGCCCTAAGCACACCCCTATTGTGCTTATTGGGCAATCCACTGTTTTACCCAGAACAAGAGCTCCCCAATCTGATTTAATTCCTCTTATATCTCTGCTTAAATGAAGATGTACACATACAGGGTAAAATTCTACAAGGTTGGACAAAGAACCACCAAAGTTCAGAAGATAGTTGGATGACCTTCAAGTTCTGATTAGCCAGAGTGAAATATCTATTTTGATTGTCAGGGTCATTCAGTAGACACTCCACAGGGGTCCAGAGTAAAAGATACTCAGGACTTGTCCCAATAGACTTCAAAAACAAGTCCCCAAAACATGATACCAGACTCTGAATAACATATCTGCCCAACAGAAGAAATCCCAATAATCTCTCACAGAAGTCAACAAATCCGGACACTTAACAATGAAAAATTCAACAATGAATGGAAACAAATAGAAATAACAAAGGTGATGGAAATAACATAAGGGTATTAAAAGATATTAAAATGTTATACATTAAAGGAAAACATCATTTTAGTGAGGAAGAAAAGTTGTAAAAAGAACCAAATGGACCTTCTAGCAATGAAAACTCACTGGCTATCAAGCATAGAGCATTGTAATCCTGATTACACTGGATTAAACTTGATACTTGGTCAGCTGACCTCCCTCTAGCTCCAACCTGAATTTGTTCTAGGTGCAAGGATCTCCTGATTGTTCCATGATAAAAATTCCTTCCCTGACTTTTTAACTATTGATTGAGGTCTTTCATGTTTTGCTCACTGTTGGTATTTTTGTCTTTACTATTGTTTTATTCTTACCTTTTGTTTTTGTTCCTTGTTTC